CTGGGTCGGGCGGGGGTACGCCGGGGCTGCCGTTGCGAAGCTGTAATGCCCGCGGGCGCCGTGTGCTCGCAGGCCCCCCTCGGCCAGCATGGCGCCCAGCCGCAATGGCATGATCCTGAAGCCGCACTTCCACAAGGACTGGCAGCGCCGCGTCGCCACCTGGTTCAACCAGCCCGCCAGGAAGATCCGCAGGTGAGGCGAACGCAAGGCCTGGCCGAGCTCCGCGCGCCTCGTTAACCTCGGCAGTCAAATGATGAGAATTCTCCGGAATCTCTGTACCGCCGTGATGATTCCCTCGAACCCTTTTCCAGCTGATGACTGTCGGGTTTTGCGCGAGGACATGTCTTTGCTGCGCTTCGTTGGTCAGGCGTGTGTCTCGCCTCGTCTGCCCTCAAACGTGTTCTTAACGAGGGGGGGACGCGGGCGGTTCGGGGGTTTTGCGTGTGACCAAATACTCTTTTCCCAACTCTGTTCCATGACGCTTCCAGGAGGAAGGCGCGGCAGGCGAAGGCGCGTCGCATCGCTCCGCGTCCCGTGGCCGGGCCCATCCGCCCTATGGTGCGGTGTCCCACTGTTCGATACCACACAAAAGTTCGCGCCGGCCGAGGATTCAGCTTGGAAGAACTCCGGGTAAGTAACGCACGGGCAGTTAACGTCTCATTGAGCACACGCGTGCATCTGTAATGTGTGAGACTCGTTAGGTGGGTGTAGCCTGAAGTCTCAGCCGCTCTGTAATTAAGCGCCGCAGCTCCGTTTTCTCAGTGAATGGGCAAAATGGGCTCCTTGATGAGAGAGTCTCCTTTGGTGTGGCCTGGTTATTCTGTGGCTCGTTAACATAGCATGAAAGCAGCTGTGATTTGTTCACCAATTAGCATCTGTTGAAAGGAGCTGCGCACGTGACGGGTTTTCAAGCTTTGCAGCGTTGGTGAGATTATAGGGGCGGCAGCTGGCGATGGGTACGTAATGCCGCAGGTGCAGAAAGTGGGCAGCAGCGTGGCCGTGAGGACGTGGAAGCAGCAGTTTCAATGCAGGATTGTTTGGACCTTTCAAGCGACGTGGCTGGCTTACCAGCTACCCCCCTTCTGTTTCTGGAGCTCAGGCTCGGATGGAGCCATCTTAAACGGCGCGTGCTTTGGCAAGCATTCTTGCCCTTCTGTGTCAAAAAACAATCTCATCCGGCTTGTAGATGTAGACTAATGCTCCATATCAGCCTTCGCGTTGCAGCGCGAGCAGACCGCTGCCTCCCCGAATGCTCAGCAGAGGCAGGGGAGAGTGGGACGATGCATATGGCCTTTTGTACAGCGAGATCCTGGAAGAGCTGATACAGGCCCCCCCTCCCTCCCGAGGCGCCGCAAGCTGCCTTGTTACCAGTGTTTCTGGAGGGTGAGGGTGTTCTTGGGAAGAGTCAGCACCAAGAACTTAGTTGGGTGTTTTCATGCTGAGCTAGGTTCACAGTCGGGTCAAATGTCACTACTGCCTGGTAGTGCTGACACCTTATTTATACCGTCAGCTTTGTGCCAACCCAGTGGGCTTGGGGTTTAAGTCACCCAGTTGCCACTGGAGTTAGTGGCACAAGCCACTGGCCAAGTGCGGTGATTCTTATTTCGGGGGGTGAAAATGTCCCCCAAGTCTATGTTCTTGAGACTCGGAGGATGCTTACCAGCTTCAGGTGCTTACTTCTCGCCTTGTAGTTGAATCGCACCTGTTGTGCTAACATCTGACTTCTGGGCTGAGTGCAGTTCACGCCTCTGAACCACTGCTCCTGCTTCTGGCGGGCCTTACAGTCACTGTCTGCAGAATCGCTGCCATCTGTGATGACCGCATTTGAACCCTTTTCCAGCTGATGACTGTAATGGCTTCCTCGAGCAGGACAGTGGCTTTAGCAGTCACCTGAATATTGATGCAAACACTGTCTTCTTCCTCCAGCTGGCCGGCATCAACAAGAAGTTTGCCCGCACTATTGGAATCTCTGTGGATCCCAGGCGACGGAACAAGTCGACAGAGTCCCTACAAGCCAATGTTCAGAGGCTGAAGGAGTATCGCTCCAAACTCATCCTCTTCCCACGGAAGCCGTCGGCACCCAAGAAGGGAGACAGCTCTGTAAGTACCGTTGGCCCTGGGACCTTTCCCAGGTTCCTGAGGTTTGGTTATAGCTGGTATTATTGCACGGATGTAAAACACTTGTGACTTGAGTGCATCTTGTCACGTAAGGTGTCCACTGCAGAATGATTCTCTTCACACATCCACTGAAGACCCTAGACCTTGCAGCTGTTGTGGGACGCTGCAGGCTCGGGATGTTTTGGCCAAGACCAAGTGCAGCAGTGGCTTAGAGCCGAGGAGCCATGCTGTGCTGTTCTGGAGGCACCTCTCAGGCTTCCGCTCAACCCTCATTTTAATGCAGCGTAAACAGCTGCATGCAAAATATCTGACTTGCTTAGAGCAGTTGATGCGCGCCAGGGACTCTGGACTACGTGCTTTGCCATGAAAACCGTTACAAGCAAAGCAGTGGAGTAAAGTGGTGCAGTTCGGAGTGGGGGTGGGACTTGCTGAAAGAGCAGCTGGTCAGTACGAGGCGGGGTGCACCCACTGACTGTCACGTCTTTCTGCAGAGTAGCCCTTTCCATCTCGAAAGTTCAGAAGCCAGGGGCCCCTTCTGCGTGTGCCTCTGCATAGGCTCCTCTGGGAAGAGACGTGTGTGTGCACAGAGAAATGGGACATTTCCCAAGGGGGAGGCATTCTGAGCCATCTCCCCAGGCCATGGTTGTTCCAGGCTTTTTACTTGTTCTTAAATACAGTTTCTCCTCGCGCCTCCTGTGGCACAGCCAGCCAGCAGGGCTGGATCAAGCTGTACTAAACTGCTTACTGAAAGGGCATCAGCGTGGGAGGAGGGGGCGTCACCGTGGCCATACTGTGGCTAAGCACTCTGAACAGCAGGCTTTAGCATCGGGGTGGACGTGTTTCCCAAGCTGGGGGAAACATTGTCGGCAGGGCTGGGAGCATCTCTGCACCTCGTTCTAGAACTGATGGAAGCAGAGATGTGAAAAGGTGAAGTTGAAATGGCTTGATATGGGCCTCCTTTTCTGGCAGCCAGACACTTGTGAAGGCTCTGGCATCGCTGTACGCCCCAGTGCAGCTAGAAGCAAGCGTAGCACGTCTCTGATGCACACGTGTACTGCTCTAAGTGAAGCCCACGCAAATGGATGGAGCTGACCCTGGGTCTCTAGAATGCTGTAAACAGCCGGAAGAGTAGCTCTGCCCTGTTGGGTCAAGGAGTCTGAGGCGTGAATTGGCGACTGCAGTAGGCTTTGCATGGTGTGACTTTAAAATGGATGCTGTTCCTCCAGGCCAGGCCATGCTTGGAGACTCACGTCCGCACAGCAGTGCCACCAGGAGCTCCTAGTGTGGATACCCTTGCACTAGCACAGCTGCGCCCTTGTTTGTTTTGCACACACGGTGGCTCTGGTTACATCAGTGCAAAACACAGTTTTGCCAATACAGCTGTGCCCGTGTAGGAGGGCTCTACTGACAGGGTCTTCCAAGTGCCAGTCTAACCCTGGTCACCAGGGACTTGGCTGCCTCCAAGGACTATGCCAGTCAAGTAGATGGAGATGCATCACCATCTGAAGCACCGGAGAATGCTTTCCCTGCCTGGGCACTTGCTGGGTCAGGTGCACACCGCTCCAGTGGAGAGGGAAGCGTTGTGTTCAGCTGAATCTTGCCGGTCAGAGAACAGCCCATCTTGGGCTGATGCTGCTGAAATGCCAGCACAGTGCCCCGGAGGCATGCAGCAGGGCAAGCTTCTGTGCTTGTGTGTTTTGGGGCACTCTAGGCTGGATGTAGAGTGAGGAATGAAAGGCTTGGAGAAGAGGCAGGAGGGTCTGAACCTTCAGGGACCCTGCTCCAGAGCCAGGCAGCAGGAGCCATGCACAGGCAGGATTTTGGCTTTTGGTTTCGGTGCTGACCTGGGTGGCTTCAGGGCTGCTGCTGCAGGGGCCTTTCCTGCAGGCCTCTACGGAGCTCCGCAGTCACTTCTCCCCTCTCTTCCGCAGGCAGAAGAGCTCAAGATGGCAACTCAGCTGTCCGGACCTGTTATGCCTATTAGGAGTGTAAGTGAAACTGCAAGTCCTGTCCTTTGTTCGACTTCCTTGACTCTGGGTGGTGCTGGGATGGGAGCTCTGACTGCAGAGCACTCTGTCCTGATGGCTTTTCCCCCTTGCAAGTGCTGCAGCATAACACTGCGGTTAAGTTGTGCCGTCTCCAAACAGCACCAGCTCCTGAAGCCAAAGGAACAAGAGTCTGTTAAACTTGTCCTCGTGTCTGAGAGGAGTTGGCAGACTGAGTCCTGTGCCACCGCAGACTGCAGGGCTCAGAGCTGAGCGTGTGTTAAAAGTGCTCTAAGCACAGCTTTGTCAGTGTGAAACCACCTGAAATGTGCGGCTGCTGCTACTGGCGTGGCAGCTCAGCTCCCCTTCAGGCAGCTGCTGCCTTCCAGCTGGGGGGAGCCGTTCGGCCCTGGGTTCTGCGCTGAGGATTCAGGCTGACATTTGGAGGGCTCTGAGCCGCACCAGCAGCTGCGTGTGCCCAGCTATGCACGTTGGCAGTGAGGTCTCTGCAACCAAGGGGGCTGGTCAGTCCCACTCAGGCTGGCCAAGAGAAGCCGTGGGTTTGTGCAGCGTGCACTGGAGCTACTCCTGCTCTTGAGGCATTGCCCAGCAGCTGTGTGATCTGGCCATGGGAGGGTTGTCTGTTGGCATGAGCTGGGAGCTGCATGGGACAAGGCCTGGGTGAGGTATCCTTGTCAGTCTCAGCATGTGGCTGCGTGCAAGTCAGTGCTGAGCCTTTATCGGCGCGTCTCTGGCAGTCTTTGCCCCTGTGTGTAACCCCCTGGCTCTGGCTCTGCTCCTGCCAGGTGTACAAGAAGGAGAAGGCCCGGGTTATCTCGGAGGACGAAAAGAACTTCAAGGCCTTTGCCAGCTTGCGCATGGCCCGGGCAAACGCACGCCTCTTCGGTATCCGGGCAAAGCGAGCCAAGGAGGCTGCAGAGCAGGACGTGGAGAAGAAGAAGTGAGCACGTCTCCTTCGAACTGTTAATAAAAGAGCCTAGGACCGCGACCTGGTGTGGGGTCTTCTTGGGCCACACGGAAGGGACTAGGACGACCCAGGAGGGGCAATGCTTTCACTGCCACACGGGCATCAGGGGTTGCTCCTTTCCCCCTGACTAGTCTGCTCTGAGCACGTGCACCCCATGCCACACAACCACAGGCCTCGCCCTAGTTTTGGTGTGTGCGCGGCCTCTTCCAACAGGGCCAGGGAAGGGGCTCTAGCAGCCTAGAGCAGCGCCTTTCATTTACACAGCAAAAGTTCCCTGCCAGCCCATTTCCGGTGCTAGCCCAGCTGCTTTGAGGGATCTCTGAACAGATGGCTGCTGACTGATGAGGGAGGACATCGCCTCCCCATTCTGTTCCCTTCTAGTGGCAGCCTGCTTGCTTTGCCTTGGAGACGGAGCTGAATTTCCCCACTCAGGAGCTTGGCTGGATCTGGCTTCCCTTGTAAAGGGCAGCGCGACATCCGCTGTGGCCCTTGGCGGTGGCAAGGGGCATCTGTCTAGTGCCACAGTAACCGCACCGTCCCCTCCCGCAGTCCTGGATGCTCCAGGCAGGTTTGGTGGGAAGTAGAAGGACTTGGGGGGCCCACTGGGGTGCACCAGGCTGGCTTCAAGGGGCTGGATTTCCGATGTCCTTGATTCCCCCTGTGCCGAGACACTTGGGGCTGGGCCCTCAGTAAGCAAGCTACTGGCTGTCCCATCACATTTAAAATGGAGGTGGGGTGAAGGCTTCCAGGAGCTGCCTCAGCCCCTTGTCAGCCTCCTGCACAGGAGCTGGTACTTGCTGACGGCTTCCTCCTATGCAGCAGAGAGCAGATCTCACGGGGTCCCAGTCCCCCTGCACGTTCGGGCACTGCCTGAGCACTGACCCCCACCGGCTTGTCAGTCCTTCACCCCTTGCCCTGCAGGCTGCCATGCTGTCGCTTGCTTCCAGGGCAGCAGACCCCCACCATGGCTTGTCTGGTGTTGCTTAGCAGTCGGCTTTCAACATCCAAGGCATCAGATTTGGGAGAGAGCTGTTCCCCTTGCCTTCTGAGCACCTATGGGCTGTCAGTGCTCCCTCCCATGCCCAGATCCTGCATGGTTTTGGGTAGGGAGTGCAGCCGGGCTGTCTCCACTAGCGCTGAGTGTTGCTTTGCAGTCTGAGCAAGCCTCCCTTTCAGGACTGCGCCCCATGGGGAGAAGGATCAGGGCTGCCTGGGTCAAGAGAAGAGCTGCGCCCGCATCCCTCCGGCGAAGGCTTGGCTACTAGAAGGCGAGCATCTGCGCGGGGGCGGCGGCTGCCTGGTGATTCAGGAATGAGCCAGGAGTACTCGCTGCCGTCGCTGTGCACTCGCTTTGTTCCTGGTGGTTGTAGCACTCGTGGGTCTTGAGGGCACCCTGCTCAGCAGTTGGAGAGAGAAGCGCAAGGGGGTTGAGGAGGAGGAGGGCCTGCCCTGCGCCCAGGGAGCGGACCCGCTGAAATGCAGCTGCCCCTGGGGTGGAACACGGCATGGCACCGTGCCCCTCCGCGGTGGATGCGGGGGAGCAGATGGCGCGCATGGCCCCGGAGGTGGAAAGGGGCCAAGACGCAAACCAGGAACACTTGTCAGATGCAGCTTGGGGATGAGCGGGCCCCTGGCTGGGTGTGAGGCTCCCGCTTCCCCCCTCACCACTGGCCCAGACAGGTCTTGCTCCCCGGCAGGGTCCTGAGCGCTCCGGCGTATCAAATGCTGCCCTTTTGCCCCCAAACGTGCTTCCGATGCCCCCTTGGCTCAGGTTCCCGGGCCGAGGTGCAGTTACTGGCTTCTGCCTCGTGATGGAGCAGGTGGCTTCAGCTCCGGTTGGTTTCCCAGGAGCTCCGCCGTGGGGGTGTTGCCCCCAAGCTGCTGGGCTGGGGGCAGTTTCTATGCTCCCGTGCCAGCGGGGAAGCACTGGGCTCCCTGGAGCCATCGGTTCACAGGGCAGCGGGTCCAGTCCAGCCCCGCTTTGCCCCCAAAGGGGAAGTGTTGCTCCCTTGCGATTCACTGAACAGGGCCGTCTGCTCAAGGGGATGGTCCAGATGCCCCAGCATTGCCGAGTGGCTTTCTCTGGCACCCCACCCCGACTGCTGCCTGCCAAGCGGGTGCTGGGGGACCTGGAGGCTGGTGCCAGCCACGTGGCTCCTTGCCCAGCTCCCTTTGGCCGAGTCAGTGTCGGGGGCGCAGGCCCGGTCCAGCCCCGGCGGGCCCTAGCCACGAGCCCAGCTGTCAGGGCACCCCAGCCGGC